CATTCCTGGCCGCCCAGCAGTCAACCTAATGTGCACACAGAAGCACAAAGACTCCTTTTTTTTTTTTTTTTGCTTCTGTTTCTTCCAGACATCACAGCCCAGATTCAACCTCTGAATGTCTATCGAGTGCCTGCATGCCACGCTAATGGTGGTGCAGTGCTCGTGATGAGTTCATGAGAGCCTCTGCAGAGTTTCCACTGTTATGTGACTGTTCCATGGAAAATCATTAGTGCACCTAACCGGTTTTCTTTCTTTCTCTTTTTTTGTGTGTATCTTCTCGCCTCTCCCCTGCAGGAGGCTTTGCAGCTTTCTCCTCCTGTTTTCCCGGCCTGTGTGAGGGGAAGCCAGCCACTGCTCTGCCAATGAGCTTGTCCCAGCCATGTTTGCCGGTGGCTAACGTAGGACCCACTCGTATCCTGCCTCACCTTTACCTGGGTTCACAGAAAGACGTTCTGAACAAGGTATGATTGATTTGGTGTCACGTCATTAAAAAAAACTCAATACCTGTCAGGAATACACAACCTTACATCCTCTTTTTTTATTGTTTTAGGATCTGATGGCTCAGAATGGCATCACCTATGTGCTAAATGCCAGCAACACCTGCCCCAAGCCAGACTTCATCAGCGAGAGCCACTTCATGCGCATCCCAGTTAATGATAACTACTGCGAGAAGCTGCTTCCCTGGCTGGATAAAACGAATGAATTCATAGGTATGAGACATAAAATTAGTTTTAAAAAGTCCAAAATGGGTTTGGATTGACTGAATAWCAGCAACCTATAATACAACAGAAGCTAAGGGAGGTGTCTTTTACAAGGAAGTGGGTTCATCTCAAGTTATACAGTATGTCATCGAATGCTGTGATATTTAATACAACATATCCGCACATTGTCACAGTTAAGACACTTTCAGATACAGTGTAGGTTTGAAAAGGGCAAGTTTGCAGGATGCCTGACTCTCTACTCCTTTCTAGTAAAAAGACCTGTAAAAWGTACGTTATTGTACGCATTTGCGGRTAGACGTATGCATTCATGCTTCCCGTTTCCTTCCCAACAGACAAAGCTAAGGTGTCAAACTGCAGAGTCATTGTGCACTGCCTGGCTGGAATCTCACGTTCAGCAACCATCGCCATCGCATACATCATGAAGACAATGGGCTTATCATCAGATGATGCCTACAGGTGCGTTTGCCTCCACCCACCTTCAGCCCCATTAGGAAGGCGACTCAATGTTGAAAGAAACTGTTTTTGTGAAAGGAGTTTGCTAGACTGTAGCCCAGTAACAGAATCCTGCCCTCTCAGGACAGTATTTGCGGAGTGTTGTGTAAGATTGTACAAAGCGTCGTCTTCTGTCCCCTAAAGTGCTTTTTCAGACACAAATTTCCAAAAACTCTTGCCAACAGTAGCGCTCACACCATTGCAACATTAGCTTTTAAAGGTTTTTCTGTAAGACTTATTGTTTTCAAATCTTTTTTTTTTTCAGGTTTGTGAAGGACAGGAGGCCGTCCATATCCCCCAACTTCAACTTCCTGGGTCAGCTGCTGGAGTTTGAGAAGGGYCTGCGGTTACTACAAGCTCTAACCACTGACAACATCTCTGAAAACAACTCGAAGCAAAGTTCAGAGGTGAACGGCGTCACCACAGGTTTCGAGAAGCACGGTCACCAAAGCGGCTTCGACTCGCAAGTGGCTGAGACGCACCTCCCGCCAGAACTCAARCTCCCGTCCCCCAGCTCCCTCCAGCAAGGCTTCAATGGCCTGCACCTCTCCGCAGAGAGAATCATGGACACGAACAGGCTCAAACGCTCCTTCTCCCTGGACATCAAGTCGGTGTACTCTCCTAACGGCCATGCGCACTGCCTCAACATGGCGCCCACGCATTCTGAAGACATCCCCAAGCTGTGCAAACTCGACAGCCCAGGAACGGGCACCACCAATGGKGTCTGCTCTCAGTCGCCCGTCCTCGACAGCCCCTGCTCATCCGATTCTCCGTTTCCCTCTCCGAGCAGCGGGGGGAGCGTAGGAGGTCTGGGGCTCRGTGGAAGTGAAGGAGTCCATCGATCCGGCGTCTCCTCTTCCAGATTAAGGAGAAAAAACAAGCACAGCTGTGGAAGTTCTCCGGTCCACACCCAAACAAATCAAGCTCCCCAGTCCCTCAGCTTGCTGCTCGACCACAAGAGCCCCAGTCTGGACGACAACCTGAAGGGCTCCCTGCTCCTCTCACTGCCGTCCCTGCCCACTGTGGGGTCCGAGGCCATGTGGACCAAACACAGAGACACTGTTCAGGCGACCACTCCAGTCACTCCAGTCACCCCAACCACAGATGCTCCCTGGCATTTTGGGGCAGAGGAAGGGGGTGAGCGGGACATGGAGCTGGGAGGAGGCGACGGAAGGGGAGAAGAGTCGTCGCAGAGGTTCGGGAGCAGCTCGGCGTACGTGGCGTTCGGGTGCAGCGAAAGCGTWAGGTTACGAGAGAAGTCCCAGCGGGAGAAGTCGACGGCGCCACAGACGCAGCGAGACCACTGGGACCCGACGTCGTCCTCGGCAATGACCAACAATTCGCCTGCACCCGAGAAGCAGTTCAAGCGGCGCAGCTGTCAGATGGAGTTCGAGGAGGGCATCTCTGAGACGAGGTCCAGAGAAGAACTGGGGAAAATTGGAAAGCAGTCAAGCTTCTCTGGAAGCATGGAGATCATCGAGGTGTCCTGACAGATAATGGGCATTTTTTAGAGCTGCCCCTTGTGGACACATGGACCTGTTCTAAGGGAGTGCAAGCAGAGGACTTATGAAGCGGAGCAGAAGTTTCTTTGTGTTCCACTCACACAGTGTTAAGACTCCAACTGAGGGAAGGACTAARGCAAACTGRACGTTAATGTGAAAAGGTAGCAAACTAGGATTTACACCCGGACCGACAGAGCCTCAGATGTGCTGCTTAGTTGACCATACCCATTCTGAACACCTCTTTGAAATTTGAGGTAAAGTCTCTGATGGGGGGAGATAAAGGGGATGACTGCTGGTACTGTATCTTTTAAATGTTTATGAGCTCTGTCACAGATTTAAAAAAAAGAAATATTCCCAGGCAAATGTCATGCTGCATCCTTGCATCCTGAATATATAAAAGCCCCTGAAATTTGACAGAGTTCAGACAAACTGTTTGCCTGTGGTTAAATGTAGTGTGCTTCAGTGGGTGTGTAGCTTGTGATTTTAACCCTCCCAATGCTTCACCCCCGTGTCAGAGAGCCTCAGAACCATGCACGTCCACATCCACCACCCCCCACCCCCCGTGGCTCAGCCTGCCCCAAATGCTGCAAAATAACATCGACAGAGGTGGACTCCTTTACAGTACAGTCTTCACACATCATTACAGCACAAGGCGGGGGAGAGCCCCTATTAACAACGGTACTGCTTTCAATTAATGAAGGATCCTCAGCATTTTGTTGACAAAATAGACTGAGTCAAAGACTCATCGTGATGGACAACCACCTGCCCGCCCCTTTAAAAAAAGCACAGAGTTTTTTTCTGACTGTTCCAAGTGTTAACAGCATGACGGGACTGAAGTTTGGGGATTCTCCCTTCCGTCAAACCCAGCCACCACCCATGGTCACCAGTGAGCATGCACCTGAGAGGCCGACTCCAGACAGACAAATACTATATATACTAAATGAATATATATAGCAATTTTAATGAACTTCTGTTCAGTTATAGTTTTAATTTATTGTATTGCTTCATTCTGGTAATGAGAAATAATATAAAGTTTTGTGGATTCATTTTTTTTCTTTTGTTGACTTATTATTATTATTATTATTATTTGCTGTATGGTATTTATGAACACACACTCATACAAATACACACTTTTAACAAATTCAAGCAAGCAATATGTGCTGTTTCTTCTTTAGAGAGAGTGATGTTTGACTTTGAGATCCACTTTTTTGCTTTCTGGCCATCAGTTACTCTTCACACCCAGTCAATGGGATTTTCTTTGTCTCTGTTTTGCTAAAAAAAAACAACATAAAATTTATTATTTTTTCCCTCATTGAGGGCTCAAATATAGACTAAAATGACTGTTTTTATTTTTAGTTTTTTGTGCACAGAAAAGGCAGATAGCCATACACACTCTGGTCACCCTTTCAGTTAAACACGAGGGCTTGCATGGCAACAACTTTATGCAAACAGACACATTGATTCACAAGTTTAGGATAAGAAAACGTGTGCCGAGTGTCTCCTCCAAGCCAGCGCCGGTTGGTCAGTTCTGATGACAGGATGTTCCAACGAACCCGAAGCAAGACGACACATACTTCTATTAAATTGTACGCCCTTATGCTTACACTCACACATCAAAAACAGGCCCAAATCCACCCTTTTGTTTCATTCTCAGGGGATCTTACAGTGAGCCAAGCCCAACACAGGGTACACAGCTGCTGGTACATCAGCAAAGTGCATGTTCATAAAGCCTCTCGTGCGCGCTCTCTGTCTGTTTTTGCTCTTCTTTCACAAATCTCCAAAGCTTTGATCAAAACAGCAGAACACCACGGACAGAAAAGGACAAAAAAATCAGGATCTTCAACTTCTGTGGTGGGAAATAAAAAGAAACTTTGCTCTCCTGGTGTGAGACGGTTATTTATTTATGATGTAATTCATGTTTCCTTTTCTTTGACCCTTGATTAGCTTTAATCTCTGATCTCTGACCTTTGACCTTATGCTGCTACAGCTACAAGTTTAGATCAAGCCCCGTGTGTCCCTGGGGTTCACGCAAACCTCCCCTTTTCTCACCTTCCTCCTGATATTTTGAAGAAACATTGTGATTAACATTTATGCTATGTAACAAGGATGATGCAGGCTGTCCCATTTGCTAAATTGTTATTGTATTATTATTATTATTATTATTATTATTATTATTATTATTATGTAAATAACAACCATCTAAGAACACTGATGAAGTTAGATGAGTTTTTTTTAAATGAAATCCTGATATCTAGGATTTAGGATAGGCTGCTTGATGCAAAAATACCTCAGGTTCTATTGAAAGGCTTTTCCTTCCCCTGTACATGTTTTGTGAAAATAAGACAAAAATACAAACATGACAAAATACAAACTCTTGTCTGCTTCCTTTTTGTGTGTGTGTGTTTTTGCCTGGGGGTCCGCCAAAAACCAGCACCACCCAGGGTCCTGCAGATGTCTGTTGAGTGTGTCTTAATTTCTATACGTTTTCACCTGTTCATGTGCCTGATTAAAGCTAAAATGTAGCCAAACCAAGCTTTTAGGTTCGTAATTTTAGGGTAAAATATCAGAATAAAACATTTTTAAAATCACTGTTTAAAATGTGAATGAAAACAGTCTTGTTGAGCATTTGAATCCAAAACAATAGCGCCATCAAATATTCCTTATCAATCCTGATAAGTAATATTTTTTGATCCAACGCATCAAACTGAGAATTAGGTCAAATTTGTTCCAAATGAACGAAGCACATTATTAGATTCATGACTTTTACAGCTACATTCTGATCCAGAGATATGCCTTGATTTGTCTTCCTAAACAGGATAACTTGTACATATTTAGTCTGAATCCTATTTTTAGGTTATTCTAATAAGTCATGTTTGATGTCTTTTTAAAGAGAACCCCTCAAACAATATGTGGATATTAAGATTTGCCAGCTGGACAGAAAAAAAGCTTTGCTAGCTCGAAGGTTAAGTGCAGAAAACCGATTAAGTTCTCAAATAAATATTTATTTTCAGATCTAAACCCTGTGGCCTCGGAGAATAAAACATAAAGGTCRTTGGCAATTTGCCCCGTTCATCACAACACAGTATTTCAAGAGTCGCCAAAATGAAGTCATGCCTCCAGAAAATGACATCATCGAAGGAGGGAACATGACCTCACCTCCCGGGTGACCCACTTCTCAATCAAAAATAGTGAAATCTCAGATGTAGAAACATTGTGTGTCTGATTGTGTTGTGTTGTATCAAAGCAAGGCATGTAACGAGACAATTTCTCAGAACTTGCTGTTCTCTCAACTTAATCACAGCATAAAAATAAACTAAAGTATAAAAATATTCTCTCAAACCTTTATATATACATATATGTGAAATGAAAATATATAAATATATCTAAATATAGTTTTTGAGAAGAACAAAAAAACAACATAGTTTCTCGTTTTCAGCCACACTTATTGAACGGTTGGTGTTATCTCTGCTTCCTCCTTTCACTATCGACACATAATAAAAGCAGACAACAGGTTTCAGGTGTCTCCCTGCCTGTCTCGTCAGTGTTTGTCTGTGGGCTCGGGAGTTTACACTCCGTTTGGTGAAGGTGTGGTGTTTGCCAACGACATAACGTATTTGAACAGTGGCTTTACCTCCAGGGATGGGAGAATGAGATGAGGTCATGCTGTGTTTTTGTGTGAGGAAAAACCCCGAGAGGATACAGAATACAGCGATGTTATAAAATTGATCCAGCAGCAGCTTCAATAATCGTCTCAGTGGGGTTTTAATTTTTTAACGTCATGATGGAGTTTCAACGTCTGCAATCAAAGCTCTGTTGCTGTTTGTACCAGGCTCAAACAGCCAGTGTGTTCTGGAAGAGCAAAGAAAAATGTGCAAAATATTTTTAAAAAAGCACAAATAGTTCCCAGAACCAGCTGCCCTTCAGCCTTTTTTGTTGGCTTGAACAGAAGATGGGAAGAGGTAATGGTATTACCAGGATCTCCAGCTGAGCCCCTCTGGTTTTCTTGTGTGTTGTACTGTCTATGACCACCACGGGAATTTCCCTCTGATAAAACCAGCATCTCAATGAAAAGCAAAGCAAATCCTCCTCCTTTCTTTCATTCAGACTCTCTATTACAAGCTCTGTGGCTGCCATGTTGGTGTGAGCATTTATTCCAGATCATACCGGATAATCCTTTTATTATGTGCTTCTTTCTTGGGTCTTTGTGTGAGTGCGTGTGTGTGTGAGGACATGCTTTTGTTATGTTGTTGGGACCATTTTCCAGAAAAAACACAGCCTTGTGTGAACCCAATGCTCCTCGTGGGGACCGGGTACAGATGTAGATTTTTGATCAGGGTTCAATTTAGAACCAAGTTGAGGGTAAGGGCTCAGGGTCAGGGAAAATGAATGGAAGTCAATAGAAAGTCCCCACGAAGATAGAAAGAACAACTTGTGTGTGTGTCTGTCTTTCAAGGTGCCCCCAGCCTGCATCAGATCGATCTGCATCTCAGGTAACCTGCCTCGTCTACAGTCTCTCCCCCAGTTGTGCTGCTGTCTGCACTTCTGAGCAGGGTTCCTGCTGCTAATGTTCCCGGCCCCAAAATAGCTTTTAAATTAAATATTTCATTGCTGTTTTCTTGTTTTGCTTCTTATCGTTTACATCCCCGATGACTCCAGTGATTTTTGACTTTTAGCAGTTCGTGCTATATCTGTTTTATAAACTTTTACATCCTTGTATGTTTCACATTAYAGCAGAAATGTTAGAATATTGCTGCTCAAACAAGATGCACAGGAAGTGTTGCAGTCACTATCTATAAAAATGTGTTTAATAGTCAAAACTTCTCATTCAACTATTTTTAGACACACAAAGCTGAAATCTTTACCAAACTCTAAATGCTAATCAAAAATKCAAGCTGGCCACCACAGCTAACATTAAAAGGCTATAAATTCAGCATTTTTAACACTTATTGGGATTAAATTTGTTGTGGAGTAGCTAAGAATGATCACATCGATTGTCAATGTTAATCCCAAACTAAGCTAACCACTAATGCTAATGCTAATTTTACAAAGGGCTATACTTGTGCCATTTTTAAACGTAATAAAACTACTAAACAGTACAGTATCACAGACCAATCTYTAACAAAATCTAAATGCAAATACAAAATTCAACCTTCCCGCCCACTTGTCACTCATTTGGGAGTGGCACCTGGGGTGGCCAATCAGGTGCCAAAGGAGGCACTTTCCACCCTGGCTACCCCTCTGGCTCCGTCCCTGATTTAAATCACCTTTTATGTCAAAACTGACATATAAAGTGTCCGCTTTTAAGAAATTATTTGCTCATAGCACAACAAAATGTTTGAGATTAAACTTGTTTTACAACAGAGCCTGCTTGAATTAGCTTTTAGCTCGCCACAGTTGTCCACATTCAGTCTCTTATTCTCACATTTTTTTTTATATGAGTGCTTTTTAAGTGCTTTCTTTTTTCTCTTTATTGTTGCATCCATGTCTGTTTAACTATCTGCAAGATGAGTGATTTTATGGATATATAAATAATAATTTAAAAATCATGTTTCTTGTTGATAGAAAAGTTTATGTAAACTGATTTCAGCTGTATAAAAGCATTGTTTGCCAGTCTGCAAGTGTGTGTGTGTGTGTGTGTGTGGGTGTCAAAGTGTGTGTCCTCCCCTCTCCCAGAGGCTGATGGGTACCAGACGTATGCAAAGGGCTGCCTGGCGCCTGCTCACAGGCCTTTTATATGGAAACAGTTAGTAACTGTTACGTCAGCAAGTTACAGCACTCTTTTCCACTCACACACACRCTCACCTATCATTACCAAACATACCTTCTTTCCTTTACAGCCTCTCCTTTGTGTGTGTTGCTTCTCTTTGACCGCTTTCATCTCAAACCGGCCCTCACCGCGCACACTTGTTGCCCGAAAGTTGCGTCAGCGCAGCATTCCTCACTTTTCCCCCCATGTCATTAAGGATAACTGATTCCAAGCTGCATTTTTTGCCCTTTTTTTTCTCCCCGTCGTCAACTCCTGTCCTTATATAACCCTGCAGTCTGGCAGCCCGTTTGTCCTCCACACTGCTCTTGGTCTGACTCCCCCACTCTCTAACCTCTCCATCATCCCAAACCACCTCACACGCGAGCAGGCAAAAGAGCTGGTCTGTAAACACGATTTCGAGGCCGAGCAAATAGACCTTAAAATTCTCCTTCACCTTGCTGAGTTTATTTTTCTTCTTACAACCGCAGATCCAAAATAGTCTGAGGCTGTGTTAAACGTGAATAACAACAAGATGCAGTGATTTGCAAATCTCATAAACCCAGATTTTTTTTAAATGGAACATAATAAGCTCATGAAATTGTACCAATTTTAGGAAAACAATATTTTGAATTTAATGTCATCAATATAGAGTTGATGGGCAACAAAAGGCTGTAAAATGTGATAAAAATGGACAAAATTTCACAAATTATACAATTTMTATAGCTACGAATTACAACACAGAAATAGCATGAGCTTTATATTACAAAGTCCTACCATACATCACACACACATTAAATAACAAATGTAAAAATGAGATTAAAAGTACTCTGTGATTTTTATCCTAAATTGCAACCACTCTCCCATYAGATGCACCGCCCCATCGTAYRGAGCAGGGATGGGCAATCCTGGYCCTCGAGTGCCGCTGTACTTTGAAGTTTCACAGTATTACAGTTTTTGTGTTTTTCTGTATTTCTTGTTTAGTATAGTAGTTACATTTTAATCAATAATACTTTACAGGAAAAATCCAGACTCTCGTCCTCCACTGGTGCAGTGAGATTTATATCTTTATCAAAGCACCATTTTACACATTAGACTATGTCATACATGGTCTTGTATTGGTGCAATTTAAAAAGGTCTCATTATTTTCCATCCATCCATCCATTTTCTTCCGCCTATCCGGGGTCGGGTCGCGGGGGCAGCAGCTTCAGAAGGGAGGCCCAGACCTCCCTCTCCC